TGGTTTGTTATGTCTGTGGAAAATAATGACACAAATCATATCAATGCACCCGAGAAAGGACAAACGACCTACTCCACAAGCGTATCTCGCAAAGACAGATGATATCATTGTCGTTGTGGTCGTGGAGGCAAATATGGTAGATAACAAGTCTGGATCCTAGAAATCGGAGCATCCAGACACTTCTACTCATACTATGAGCTCTTCCACGACTTCCAGGATTCCACCGATGGCGAATGTATCTTTATGGGGAACTCTACTACAGCTGGAGTACTTGGGAAAGGGAAGATACTCTTAAAACTCACTTCTGGCAAAACTTTATCTTTAAGTAATGTATTCTATGTTCCTTCCCTATGTAGGAATTTGGTGTCTGGAGGTTTGCTGAATCGAGCTAGACTTAGGATTTTATTTGAGGTCGACAAGATTATAATCACAAAAAATGGTGACTTTATTGGTAAGGGATATTTAGCAGATGATTTGTTTGTACTTGACACTGCTTCTATTAATGAAATTGATTCACATTTGTGCTTATATGGTTGAGTCTATTGATTTGTGGCATGGTAAACTAGGACACGTGAGCATTGCATCAATTAAAAGACTTAAAGCTCTAAATCTAATTAATACTTATAAATTGCATGAAACCTAGAAATGTCATGTATGCGTAGAGGCAAAGTTTCACAAAAAGCCTTTTAAACCTGTCACAACTAGAAGTACTGAGCTACTTGAATTAATTCATTATGACTGATGTGATTTCAAAAACACTACTAGTAGAGGTGGAAAACATTATTATATTTCCTTTGCTGATGATTTTTCTAGATATACGAAAACTTATCTACTAAAATCTAATGATGAAGCTAGTAGCAAGTTTTTGAAATTCAAAGCTGAAGTAGAAAACCAATTGGATAGAAAGATAAAAAGACTAAGATCTGATAAATGATAATTTCCTTAAAGAATTCTGTGAAATGAATGGTGTCATACATGAAGTAACTGCTCCTTATTCACCACAACAAAATGGAATAACTGGATTTAAAAATAGAACGTTAAAGGAAATTATGAATATTATGTTATTAGCTTTGGTTTATCTAATAAGATGTGGGGGGAAGCTACGCTCTCTGCATATTTTGTTCTTAACAGGGTCCCTCGCAAAAGGCTGAATAAGACGTCGTATGAACTTTGGAAAGGATATTCACCTAACCTAAGCTACTTGAGAGTCTAGGGGTGCTTAGCAAAAGTGGTATATCCAAAATTCAAAAGACCTACGGTAGGATCTAAAACCTTTAACTGTGTCTTTATTGGTTATGCTCAAAATAGTTCAGCATATAGATTAATGTGTTTAAGGGATAGTACAATTTGTGAATATAGAGATGTTGTATTCCTTGAAAATATTTTCCCGTTACGTCAAGAATATTAGTGAATCATGTGTAACTCCAAAACAAACTTTACCCTCAATTTCTAGTGATGAGTTGGATTCTAAACATAGTAGTAAGGTTATAAAAGATCCAGAACTTAGGAGAAGTAAAAGGTCAAAGATGAGCAAAAGTTTTGGACCTAACTTTTTAACTACATTTTTAGTTGAAAAATCGGATAAAATAGATAATCAATTTGCTTGCATGTATCGAATAGATGAAGATCCTAAAATCTACCAAGAGGCTATTAGTTCTATAGATTCTAGCTTATGAAAAGAAGCAATTAAAACTGAACTAAACTCCATAATTATGAATCAAACTTGGGACTGGGTATATCTTCCTCTAGGAAATAAACCTATTAAAAGCAAATGGATCTTTAGGAAGAAAATTAGACCAGGTGGATCAATTGAAAAATACAAGGCTAGATTAGTGGTTGTAGGTTACACACAGAAATATGGAATTGACTATTTTGATACATATTCTCCTGTAACTAAAATAGACACTATTAGATCTCTAATTGCTCTTGCTGCTATTCATGACCTATTAATATATCAAATGGATGTAAAATCAGTATTCCTTAATGGAGATTTAAARGAAGAGATCTATATGACACAGCTTGAAGGTTTTCTGATTGCTGGTCAAGAAAATAAAATATGCAAGCTTAGAAAATCTTTCTATGGTCTTAAATAAGCTCCTAAACAATGGTATAAGAAATTCAATAGCACTTTAGTAAACAATGGTTATAAGGTAAATTGTTCTGATACGTGTATTTACTCAAAGTTGTTTGGAGTTGATTATGTCATTGTATGTTTATATGTTGATGACATGCTTATTTTTTGTACAAATTTACATGTCATTAATGATACCAAGTTATTGTTATCCTCACATTTTGAGATGAAAGATGCAAGAAAAGCTCATGTAATACTTGGTGTTAAAATAAGGAAAAATGAGAATTGATTCCCCTTATATCAGTCACACTATATAGAAAAAATGTTAAAGAAATTCAACTGTTTTCATAATCCACCTGTAAGAATACCTTATGATGCTAACATTAGTCTAAAGAAAAATAAATGTGATACTATATCTCAATCTGAATATGCAAAGATCATAGGTACTGTTATGTTTTTAATGAACTATACTAGACCTGATATTGCATATGTTGTAAGTAGATTGAGTAGATATACACATAATCCCACTAAAGAACATCGGACCACTCTTCATCATTTATTGAGATATCTGAAAGGCACCATGGATTACTGTTTGCATTATAACAAGTTTCCTGCTGTGTTAGAAGGGTATTGTGATGCAAACTGGGTTACAGATAATGATGAGGTGAGCTCTACTAGCGGATATGTATTTCTTTTAGGCGGAGGAGCCATCTTTTGGAAGCCAGCAAAGCTGACTTAAGGGGGTTAGGAAGATGAAAGGATTGGGAGAGAGTATGTGGTAGATGAAAGGAGTTAAAAAAAATCAATGAGAAAGATAAAGTTAATGAAAGAATAATTAAGAGAGAGAAGATTAGTAAGAGAAAATAGGGGAATTTAGAAGGGTGGGATCGTGACAAGAGAAGAGATAAATTGAGAGAGGGAAAGTTTGTATTTAAATGACACAATTGCCATAAAAAAAAAGTGAAAAGAGTTATAATAAGAGGGCAAAATGGTATATAGAGTTAATTATATAGAAGAGAGAGAGGAGAGAAAAACACTTCAAATTTTAGGAGTAAAAAATAAATTAAATAGATGATAAAATTTTTCATATTCTAAACATTTTAAATACAAAATTAAGTGAAATTTGAATTTTAAAAGAAAAAAAAAGATAAATAGTTATTTGGGTAGGTTAATTTGAGTACTGCATTTGGATGGTGGAGAAAAAATCGAATTGAGAGTAAATGTGAAAGAAATATAATGATAGAATTAAGATAAATGAATGTAAGAAAAGAAATTTGTATAGGTGGAGATAAAATATTTTCAAAGGAAAAAAAAAAGAGATAAATGGGAGAAGTGGACGTGGGAATGAGAGAGAGGAAGAAAGTAGGAGAGGTAAATGACAAATTTGCCATCAAACCTTTATAAAAATGAGTTATGAAACAAGGTAAAATTGACCTAAAAAGTTTCTCCTCATCCCACATTTTATATATACTATAGATATAGATGTATATATTATATATTAGTATATACCAGTAAAAAGGAAGTATATATTATACAACTAAACGTATATATTATACAACCATAATTTCTTTCGCAATAGTTTGATATATACCAATAAAAAGTACATATTGTTATATAACCTTTTGGAAGAGTATATGCTTATTATACTATTAAAAAAAAGAGCTGTTGAAAAAAAAAAGACACCAGAAAAAAATAACAAGGGGAAAAAGATAATTAAAAAATGGAAAGAATATTTTGGAGAAGTATATATGTATCCTACCATTGAAACAAAAAAACGACAGGAAAAAATAAGGGGAAGAAGATAATTAAAATATAGAAAGTATATTAAATAAAATGGGTAATAATTAAACAATATAATTTTGAAATATAAAATCTTTAATAAATATAGAAATGTTTTGCCTTAATTGAAAAAACATATATATGGAAAGTACCCATGAAAATAAACATAATATGCGGGGATCTTTTAAATTAAAAAAAAAAAGTAAATATGGTCGTCAAAACGAGCATAGGTTAGTGCGCGGTGATTGACATATATTTCCAATAAGAGATTAGTGAGTTTGATCTCACCCAATCAAATTATCTACCCAATCAAACCCAAATCATAATTGATAACCAAATTTGGAAACTGAATATTAATATAATTCTAATCCTATCAAATCATATGAAACTTCTGCCTCTATGATATTTCCCTCCTACACCAAATTTTATTTGAATGTGTGTTCACTAATAATGCATAGTTTTTCGTGTGGAAAAAGCCTTCCTAGTCGTGAGGTCCAAAGTCCCTTTGTGTTCTTAGGCTTGGGTGCTCAATGATTTCATCAGTTGGTCCTTGAGCCGACAAACCAAACTTTGAGGCTTTAGGCCACCCTAAAACTTCCATTATTTTAATACAAAAACACCCCTAAACTAGTAACTTACTTTCCTACATATATTATTCTTTTCCATCACTTTTGACACGTGTCCTTTGTCGAGTGGGTCGTCTTTTGACTTGATCATCAAAGTCATGAAAAACCTAAAAATTTCAAACACCAACATCCAAATCAACACCCAAAAATAATAAAGGAAAACCATGTTCCCTAATTTTATTTTTTTTTTGTCCTTTAGGTTTGTTTAGGTTTCCAAACCTATTTTAGCCCGATCCTAAACTTTTAAATGCTTTATTTCAAAGCTCTTCTACCTATTTTATTTTAGTTTTTAAATTTGGTGTAAAAAATATCAAGTACACTTTAAAGTCAACACTTAATTTATACTATGGATGATTTTAAATCATTGTCTGCGTAGATATCTACTCATCGAATAAATGAACCAGATACATAAAATTGTTTATTTTTAAATAAAAAAGTTTAATAGTAAAGAAAAATAATCTTTTATATAAAGTTTAAAAAGAATAAAAACATAATATTTTGAAAGGAGTTTGAAACCCAATCAAAATAAATATGAAACTTATAAAAGTATGGAACCTTTTTTTCTTTTCTTGTTATTATTTGTCTGTGGATATGCCATTTACATCTCTATATGTATTTAACCTTTTTGCATTTTGTGTCGACTTCTCACCCTCTTCTCTCCTCTCTATTGGTGTTTGCCTTTTCTACTTTACCATTCTCTCTCTCTTGTTAAAACAGCTTCTTCTTGTTCTTCTTCATTTCCACAGCTTCACCAACAAGCTCCCATGGCTTCCTCCCGATTGGACCTCACCATCTCCGTCCCCGGCTTCGATTCGTTCCCGTCACTTCCTTCCTCTGGTACACACTTATCAATCTCAATCAATTTTTGATCTTTCACCGCGTCAAGAATAATAAATAATATATATACCCATCTGCTCAAACTATAAAAGATTTTAACATGACACCAAACGTAATTAAGTCTAGTGCTGATTTTCAACAAGGGGTTAAATATATCGTGATCTATGGAGTTAAGCTTTTGAATTTAGGGATGATTTAATGCTCACGATTTTCGTTACAGTGAGAGATTTGGACATGAACCGAGCTCCGGAAGAAGAGGAATGGATGATGGGAAGCATGGAAGAGGATGAAGAAATTAGTAACAATAATAATGGTGGAGGCCATCCAAGGAAGAAGCTGCGTTTGACAAAGGAACAGTCTCATCTTCTTGAACAAACCTTCAGACAAAACCATACCTTAAACCCAGTACACTTCTCAAAATTCTCTCTTTTTTTCTTTTTTTCTTTTTTCCATTTTCTTTTCTCTCAGAAAGCATGATTTCGAAAAGATTTTTTTATTTTTTTTTATTTAATTTGCAGAAACAGAAGGAAGCTCTGGCGGAAATGTTGAAATTGAAGCCACGGCAAGTTGAGGTTTGGTTTCAGAACCGACGGGCCAGGTGGGTAAACTTTTTAAAAAAATGGTGTTTCATTATTCTACTTTGATTTTTCAGATTTTTTGAATTTATTTCGTTATTCTTCATCTTCTTCTTTTCTCCTTTCACTATATGGATTTTGAATTTCGAGATTTTTTTTAGTTCAACAGAATTTGAATCTTCTATTTTTTTTATCGAAGATATAGACCTTATCTAGTTGAACTGTAACTATATTTTTAAGATTTTTGTTGATACAAGGAATCATATTTGAAACCAAAAAGGATGTTTGTGAATACTATGCATGGAAGAATTTGTTGTGAAATAATGGTTTGATAGAGTTAGGTTTAAATCCTATTTTAATCAATTGTCATTCTGGTTTGGGTAATACTATTTTCGTCTCTACGCTATACTAAATTTTAAGACCTTATATTTTAGTTTTTTTTATTTTAATAAAAATTATATTTTAGTTCTTTCAACTTATGCCTAAAAAACTATTAATCTTTCTATAAAAAGTATTTACCATAGAAATCCATTATAAATTCATCTTCTATTCATTTAGTAATTGAGCTTAGATAAAAACTTTTGTTTTCCTTTTTTACAAAATATAGTAAGGTGACTATCAGTAAGATTAGTCAAGTTACACGGGATACTCGTGAATATAGAAAAAAAAAACTAAAAAAAAAACAATCTTCAAAAATTTATTTTTGATTTTGAAATGTTGCTKAAAATTCAAATATGTTTTYAAGAGAGGTGAAAGTCTAACTACTGAAATTCTACCAAAATAATCTAATTTTAAAAAACTAAAAACTAACAATCAAATGGTCATCAAACGATACCTTTAGATATTTATGGTGGATATTGAAACCACGTCTAGTTGGTTAGATATCGGACTTTAAAATAGATTTGAAATTTTGTCCTATCCTACCCATAATCTTTCTTGCCATCAACTCAAATAGAATATTTAAACTTTAGGAAATGAAAATATAATATTTACGAAACTTTATAGATTAAAATATTGTTTAAACCCTATGCTAAAACCTTTTTATTATATATTCAAAAATCAAAAGAGAAAAAGTTTTGAAAAGTAATAACCAAACAAATTGAATAACAACTCTTTAATTAATCAACTCTTTAATTAATCAAACTAGGGTTAAACTAGAAAATTATTTTGTCCCTTTCTTGAATATTGAAATTATAAAATAATAATAGTGGAATTATAGCCCCCAAAGATATGCAATCCCACCAAGAGACAATAGGTGAACAAAATTATGAACATGTAATGATGTGGTTACCCCATTACTCTTAATTAGCTACTTCAATAACACATTGTCGAGGCTGCCCTTTGGCCTCGTGTGCTACTCTATCCCATATTAGATTAAATTAAATGTCTCTTTTTTGTCCTATCTTTTCCCTACCCATGAAACTTTACCATATGTATTAGGTTAAATAATTGATCATTTAGAGTTATTTAGAAGTTTTAATTTGATGGTTATGATTTGGTTGCTGTGTTAAAGATCCATGTTAAAAAGATAGAGATTTAACAAAGATTTATAGAGTTAAAGATAAATAAACCACCACTCAACTCAAAAGCTTAAACCGATAGGTTGGATAAAGTTAATTCCTATATAGATATTTCAATATATAATATACATGAGCTACTTCTCTGATTAGTAATTGGTTTTGGTATCAAAGTTCAACAAACTCAAACAAGTATTTGGGAAAAAATTGGGATCCAAGCCRAAATTGGTGAGACCAATAGAGTCACAATTTTGACGGGCATGTTAAAGATCTCACGTAATTAAAAAGATAAGAGATCTAACAAATGTTTATAATATACATAAGTTACTCCGCTCTATACTCATTATTTCTAGACGGAAAAGTAGGTCTTTATTCCATCACTTTCTCTGTTCCTCTTTCTGATGATCAAAAACTCTAACCCTAGAGCTCAATGTCCTTTTACCCGATTTACTTAGTTCAAATCCTAATGCGTCCACCACATAGGTTGAATGTTAGGTCAACGTTTCTCTCTGCCACGTTTGAAGAAAAATGTGTCAAGTAAAACAATAATAACATTTAGTCGAGATGTTTTGCGAGAGATTTAGCCCAATTTTAAAGATTCTATTGAAACTTTCGGAACATATAGGGACCAAATTTTTATAGCTGGTTTATACATAATGGACGAAATTGCTAACTCTTATTATTTGGTCCTATATATATAAAAGTTTCTTTTTTCCTTCAAATTCACCTGAATTTCAATATTATAAAATCATGTTCTTGAGATAACTATCCTTTTACCTTTTGCTCAAGATTTCTAAAGATTTAGCATCAACATAACTTATTTTGATAAAATTAATAGATGAAGCTAACAAGTCTGTTATTGGGTATTATATGATGTGATGTTTCTTTTTCTAATTTTCATTTTCTTTAATATTAATGGAAACATTTACAAATTGGGTACAAGAAACAGAAAAAAATGTCATTATGCTATGTGGTTTGAAGCTGTTTGAAATAATTATTATGTCAGTTATTATGGGTACAAGAATAAATAAAAATCAGAAAATTAAAGTTAATTGGTGAAGCAAAAACATTTTGCATGGACAAGGGTAAATTTATATACCAATTTAATTGTTTTGGTAATAATTAGAATCCAAGAAGACAATAATGATGTTCTTGTCTTTCATGTAAAAGGGTTTCAAATTGCATTTATTTCACTTTCACATCTCTTTTTCTCTTGTCCTTCTTTTTGTTAGGCACAATTATTGATATTTCTTGTAGTCAGAACATACTGATTTGATGATATACTCCATACTTTTCAAAGTATATTATTAAATTTACTTTTCCTTTGTATTAATTAGGCATTTATTTGGGCATGAATTAAATAAATTATCACATAATTAAGAAAATAACTCTAAAATATATCAATGATAATCAACTCATTGATTTAAGTTTTCAATGGAAATTTAAGTTACCCTTTTAGTTCTTCTATGGTGGTTTCAATTTTTTGCTTTTAAAAGTTTCATTATAATGTGTTATGTTATCTAGTTAAATTCCTGGAAACATATCCATTAAAATTATTTATTGGATGTTAACCATTTTTGTAGATATTGGATGTTAACCATTTTTGTAGATATTGTTATCTTATACGTAGTAAAGAAAAGTGATACGCTGATGTTTAGCTTAGAAAATCATGTGACTTTTTGATAAAGAGGATCAACTCAGAAGATCAATGAAAAGATATCTCTTGTTGCACATCTTTGAAACTAATTAGACGTTTAGGGGAGGGTTACGTTTGGGTTTTGGTTTCGGTTTGGGTGAGTTTGACTTAAGATATCAAACCTATATTTGTTCCGTGATATTCACGCCTAGGTTTGTTCGATAAATTCATGGGTCGTTTCAATACAATAACTTCAAATTTACTCCCGCCAAATCCATTTTCTCATATTATTTTCTTAAAATTAGGCTTTCTAAACCTGCATCTTAAATACAAGCCTATTAGACTCGGAATTTTCAAACTTTAAGATGCTAAACTTTTAAAACTATAGAAACTAAACGTAATCCAATATCAAACCCAAATAAAAATAACATTGAAATGTGCTGAAACAGGAGCAAGCTAAAGCAGACGGAGATGGAGTGCGAGTATCTAAAGAGATGGTTCGGGTTATTGACCGAGCAAAACAAAAGACTACAGAAGGAGGTCGAGGAGCTAAGGGCGATGAAGGCGCCGCCGCCAACGGTGATCTCACCGCACAGCTGCGAGCCGCTTCCGGCGTCGAACCTCACCATGTGCCCTCGCTGCGAGCGCGTGACCACCACCGCCCTCGACAAGACCCGCATTGTCGTCTAAGCTGGTCGGCCGCTGCACTTTCATATTCATGCGGAATTATCAGCTCATCTTATCAACAACAAAATGCCTCTCCTTCTCTAGTTTTGTCTTAAATCTTTTCTTTCTTTCTTTTTTCTTTTCTTCTCTCCCTAAATGGTGTTTTTAATTTAGACACACATGTAGTCATATTATATATATAGATATACATCATGTTCAATCTTTACAATGATGTGTTTGATCTTTTTATTTGAAATTGATTTTTTTTAATATATTCTTGAATGTCCGAGTCGCAATACCTTGACTAATCTTATTGTCTGACCCTACTATATTTAGTTGTTAAGGAAACATATGGAAAATTTATCTTGGTCTCTTTGAACCAATGAACTACGTGCCCGTGCCCAGAGAACTTGAAATTGATTGGAATCTTTATTTTATCTTCAGYATTCAAAATGTCTATTATAATCATTAATATTAGGTTCTCGTTGTTACCGTTGTCATTAATTTTTTAATTAAATGTATAACGTGTGGCTATATGAGCTCTAACGTGATGAATATGAGCATGTATTAAAGATTATTCTAGATTGGCTAGGGCGGATTGTTATTGACACAATGACGAGTTTGAGATACTCTTTGAAAAGAATATTAAGTTAAATGTCTTCTTTGATAAACACTTTTTGGAAGAATTATTAATTAAGTGTCTCTCCTCAAATCATTTTATGAGTTTTCTAGTGTATATTTATAGAATTTTTGAAATCACTTTTGATTAGCTAACCATAACCTTATGAAATTTTAAATAAAAGTAAAAAATGGTTGAGCTAAAATAAAGGGAGTGTAGGGATAGATGGCACTTTAGGTGGCTTTGGACCTCAAGTAATATCCTTGAGGTCTTGGGTTCAAATCACGTGGAATGCAACTCCACCAAACAACGCGACTATAGATAATAAAAAGAAAAGTACTTTTCACGCTATTACTCATTAAAGTACAATAGAATGCCTTTTAAAATGTCATGAACTAAAATGAGATATATTGAAAGTTGGGACCAAAATAAAATATAGGTTAAACTATAACAAAAATTACACTAAATCTTTATTTAGGTGTCAATTATGCCTCAATCGTTTCAAAATAATTTTTATTTTTACCGTAATACTTACAATTGATTCACACTATAATCCTTCTGTCAATTTTTTCGTTACAGTAAAGATGGAAATGTAACGTGACGATGAGTTGTAAAAATAAATACATACATTGGGCATAAATGATAGGTTTTACAGGTGCCCTTCAACTTTGGGGTATTAGGTTCAATTATACCAATGTTATTTCAAAATTTTTATTAATTTAATCCTTAACCTCTAAAATTGTTTCAAAACAACGATATTTTATCAGATTCCTCACTTGAATGAATTTAGAAATGTAACATGGTGGTGAGTTGTAAAAAATTGAGAAGAGTCTAAGTCACATTCGAAATGACATCGCTGGGAGAGGAGAATATATTGTTTTCTACTCACCAATCAAACAGATTTGGAGACAAATTTTGTAGCCCTGTGTCACCATCAATAGACAAAAATTAGAGCTAGATCATGAACAAAGTGTCCTCCCCCATTATCCACCAATTTTCTCTCCTACAAATGTATATATTCATCTAACAAAAGCCTTTTCTTTTTTTTTTCAGGTTAACAAAAGCTTTCTTCTCTTTAACTACTCTCTAATTTTTTACCTTTCCTATGTCTAATTTTCCACGATCAATGAGACCATTGATGTTTGCTAGTGCATAATTTTTCTCACAGTTTGTGGTCCCAACCCAACGATGCCATTTTGACTAAAATTCCAACCCTCAAATATGCTTCCTCGGAAATTGATGTCACATTGTTGTCAAATGTGATGAAATTCTTTAATTTTTTTTTTCTTTTTTTTACAACTCGCTGCCACATCTAACAGAAGGGATGTTTTGAAACAATTTTCTATGTTAAACCTTAAAATGAAACTGTTGAAATGACAGGAGGGTGTAATTTAAAGCCTACGCCAAAGTTCAGAAACAATAATTTTAACTTCTCCTTTTTTTTAAACATAATTTTAACCTTTTTTTAGTTCTAAATCACAACACAATTTGTTTCTATAGATACATATAAGGTACACTTACAGGTTCATGCATGTGTTGCAGGAAGTTTCTTGCAACCAAAGACATAATTTAATAGGATTTTTTTTTTATAATATAGAATTGATGTCGTGCGAGCTCTCGCCAATTGGATTGCTAACTATTGGAACGATATCAAAATCTATGTCTCATGGTCTTTGCTAACTTCTCTTTTGTAATTTATAACATCTCTATTATTTTGTTCAATCGGAGTGMTTTCATATCGCGTCGCTTTTGTATGTTTCTTATATATCCCTTGACGAATGATCTCCCTCTTCCATGAAAAAACAAAACAAAAAAACAAAAAAGCAAATTCCTTAGGCTAGGTAGGCATGTGAATTGTAAAGCACCTTCCAACAAGTAATAAGGGTAGAAAAGAAAAACATTTGTATTGGTGGAAGGAAGCACATTGGTCTAGTGACTTATCTCTAAGATGAAACAAATCATAAAACCATGATAAAATGCCCAAACTTTAGAGGCTAATATTTTAAATGAACAATGATATGATATTTTTTAGTGGACTAATTTGAAAATGTTGGACAAAGTGGCAGCAAAAAAGTACTTTGCATGTTGAAGTTAGGATACTTCTTGGGAGGGTGAAATCTTCTTTTGCCAACTCTTTGGCCTACATGATAGAGGAGGGTGCATACCAGGCTTAGCATCACATCGGTGTAGTATTAGCCAAAATGATTCCTAGTCAAGTTTTGAAGTTGAAAAGATGAGAGCTGGCGTTTGATAGAGGTGTCTAAAAAATATATACATGTTCTTATCAAGGTTTTCTCATACGTAAACTCTAATATTTATTATCCCGTGGACTTTATTTTATGATCGAGGATCATGGCATTGTACCACAATGCCTTGGGGAATTAATATACCTCGTCATAGACTTGATGTTTTTGTTTGTGTAGTTATTGTCGTTTCAATTTCCTCATGCTCTTAATCATCACTTAATTAAATTAAACTAGATAATTCAAATGTTAAATTAGAGTTTGGTCCATAGATTTTTAAGGTTGTGTCTAATTAGATCCATGAACTTTAAAACATGTTGAATAGATTCCTAAATTTATAACTTTATGTCTAATATATTTATCACTAAATTTTAAAAGTGGCTAATATGTCCAGTAGCTCAATGACCTTTTCGATTTCTTTTAAAGTAAAATTCATGACCTATTAGATATAGAACCAAAAATCCTAATAGATACATAATTGTCAATTTTGTGTTTAACATGTAAGCGAATTTTCTTTTTTTAGAAATAAAAAAAAGTCAATAGACCTATTAAACACAAAATTGAAAGTACAAAAAGACATATTCAATGCAAAGACTTATTAGATGCAACATCAAAAGTTTAGAGATCTATTAGACACTTTCTAAAGTTTAATGATGATGTATCAAACACAATCCTAAAAAGAAGTTCCAAGACTAAACTTGGTAATTTGAGAAATATAAAACGATCTCCAAGATGGAAACAAATCATAGAACCATTGATAATTGGCCAAGTTTTAGAGGGTAATCTTTAAAAAAATGAAGAATGATAATGATATATTTATGAAATGGAGTTTAATTGGAAAATGTTGGAGAAAGTTGTAGCCAGAAACATCTCTTCTCACAGCAGGCAGCAGACAGAACAGAAGGGGAGGCATTATAGTAATAAGGTTGTACAAAAGTGAAAGAACAGCACAGCAGCCATAATGGAAACACATGGGAAGCCTTGTCTTGTCTGTATTTCCTTTCTGTTGAGTGTTTTGAGTGGGCACACTCACACACAATGCTAGGCCCTAGTTTTCCATTTTTGAGGCCAAGAAAGTTTGACAAATTTCAATCCCAAAATTGTGCAAAAGTGAGACTAATTAATCTCCATATCCATCCTCTTAGGCTTTCATATTCTTGTCTCTTTTGTTTGTTCAAATCATCTATCATCATTATTCACCACCTATATTACATAATTATTAATGTTGGGTTGAAAAACATATTTGGTCGCTAAAGTAATGATTTAGTCTATGAGCTTTAATAATTTATAACGATTTAGTCCCCATACTTTCAAATTGGTAACAATTTAGTCCCTAAACTTTAGTATGTATTTAGTACTTGTAGTTCAAAGTTTATAACGATTTTAGTCCCTGTCATGAAATTTTTTGTTAATTATCTTATATATGTAGATCGATAAATCGATGAGGGACCAAATGTGTTTATATTTTACAAAGACTAAATCGTTATATGATAAAAATCGACACTTAATTTTGATGAGATTTTTTACAGTATGGACTAAATTATTACAAATTTTAAACTATAGAGACTAAATTGTTACACTAAAGTTTAAGGACTAAATTAAGTTTATGGACTAAATCGTTACTCTAAAGCAATAATTTAGTTACATAATTAAGATTAAAAAAACGTCTTCGTACTTTTGATTATGTTTTAATGCTTAGATATTTAATGATATTGTTTGAAAACCCCAATTATAGTTGTGTTTGGGAATTGGGTTATATAGGGTGTTAAGCTTTAATAATATAGATAAAGATCGGGTAGAAACAAAGTAATGCAATTGATTGGTGGTAAGGCAACTTTATTTTTAGATAAATCGATCACTTCAAAGGGTATAAAATTAAAATAAGGAAAAGGAAATTGTTCACACGAGATTTCCGGAGAAATTAAGTTTCGTGGAGTTGAACTTTTATATTGTTTGTATGTGTTGTATAGTGGATTCAATCTCTAATCTTTTATCCTCTAATTCTTTCTCTCGAACTTCATGTGAAGATTGAGATGCTTGTTCTTGAATTTGGATCGAAGTTATATATTCTTCGAAAGTTTTCAAGTCTTCAAGTTGGTCTTCGAATCTTCAAGTCTTTAGAGAGTCTTCAATTTGGTGTAAATTCTCTCAATTCTGAAATTCTCCACCTTCAAAATGAATGAGATCCCCTCTGTTTATAGAGATTTCCATAGGTTTTGGTGGGCCATTGGGCTTGGATAATTTTGGGCTTGAATGGATTTATTTAAATTTAAATATAATCCACCATAATTCCTGGTAAATTGGGTTTTGGGCCAAGT